GTTTCCACGGCTCGCACTCTCCCTGAGATGCGTGTCACATGCCGCCTTCGGCTGCATGAGTCGTGTGCCCTCCTGTCATGTGTGTCACATGCCTGCCTTTGTTGAGGTGCTGCACAGGACACCTGCCACACACTCACATGTGCCCATCATATGCAGTGTGTGCCCTGATACCCCACCACATGTGTCATGTGTGTTCCATGTGTCCCTGCCATGCACGCCACATGTCTCACCGCAGGGCCTCGAGGCCCCTGTCACTTATTTCACATGCCTCGTCCGTGCACATATCACGTGTGCTCCTGCTGCAGGTGCTTGGTGCCCATCGCATGTGCCGTGTGCCCTGCCCTGTGTTGCATGTGCTGCCATGTGTTGTGTGCCCCTCACACATGCAGCCTGCATGTTGTGCCCGTGTTCCTGTCACACATCACGAGAGGCCCCTGGGCCCCCACTGCCCTCGCACGGAAGCTGAGCGGGCGGGACCCTTTCAGGTGCCGAACGACTGTGACGCCCAGTGGCCTCTCCCCACCTGTGACATCGCCCCCTGCACGGGCCACGGCCGAGGCCCCGCCCACCCTCTGCGCCCCGCCCGGCCTGCCCCACGCCCGGCCTTCAATAACGCTGCAGTGAACACAGGGCGCTTGTGTTCTTCTGAAGCAGGGTCGTGGGTCCCTTTGGATGTATTCCCAGAAGTGGGATCGCTGGGGGAAAAGGCAGGTCCGTCTTTAATTCTTTGAGGAAGCTCCACACTGCTGTCCACAGTGGCCGCCCCAGTCTGCATCCCTTCCCACCCACAGTGCACGAGGGTTCGCCTTTCTCCACATCCTCACCGCACTTGTTTGCTGATTTACTGATGACGGCCATTCTGACCGGTGTGAGGTGGCGTCTCATTGTGGTTTGCAGTTTTTCTACTGTAACTATTTTTCTGACCTTCATCCACGTGTTAATTTTAAGACACGGATGTAACATACGACATTCACGATGTGACCCCTGTCCACCAGAGACGTGCGAGTCGTGGCAGGGACCACGTGAAAAGGCGTGTAAGTTGGTTGTCGAGGTTTCATGGGTCCCAGGCCAGCCTTCCCCGTGCGAGGGCCCGGTGCGCGGGATGCACGTTCTCACAGCTCACGTCACTTCTGCGGCGTCAGAGGGGCCAGGGGTCCCTCTGTCCCACGGTCCCTTGCCTGGTGTCCTCGTTCCGTTCTCTGCTGGAGTGTTGTCCTAGGGGGTGCACCCAGTAAACGGTGTTTTGCACGCCCGTGGGAAGGCGTTACTGATAGTGCAGCTGGGTATAAAATCCTGGACGTCCTGCCTTTTCCCCCAAGAATGTTGAACCCCGGCCCCAGCGCCTGCCAGGAACCACTGTTGCCGACGCCGTGTTCACAGTCAGGTCACTGCGCAGTTCCCAGGCCATGGCTGCTGTGCGGTTGGTGTCCCTGGACTCTGGGCCTGCTCCCCCTCCCCGGCCAGGCCTAGGGCTGTGGTCGGACCCCACAGGGCCCCGTGGCGGTCACGTGCGTCTCTTTCTTAGACTGCATCTCCTCTCTGTGGCCTTTCTCCTTGGGATTTCAAATAAACGAGAGCTTGTCACCCTCCTTTCCACACCTCTTTCCGCCTGCCCTCCCTTTGGGGGTCATCTCTGGCGTTATTTTCGGCAGCCGGGTTTCCGGTCACGCCCACGTCACCATTCAGCCCGTCCTCCGTAGCTTAGAGTTGGTCGGTCACGTCCATGTCCACGAGCCCCTTCTTATTTCTTGTTTTCCTTTTTAACTCGGCAGTCTTTCTTTTACTGGTACTGCTTTCTCTTGAATTGCTTTGAGAAGGATGCCGTCTAGAAGTTTTATTATTATTATCATTGTGCTTGTCCCTGAACCCCTGCCAACTTGCCCCCTCAAGGACAACCTGTGGAGGGCCTGCCTTCTCTCCCATCACAGCCTGGTGGCGGAGCACGCTCCTGGCGGCCCTGCCGGCCCGGCCACACTCTGGGAAGACAGGTGAGCGGAGCAGTGACTGGTCGGCAGGGCCCTGGGAGCCAGCAGGGTGTGGGACAGGTGGGCCGCCTGGGAGAGGTGACGGCCTGTGGGCGGCCATGCTGGCGTGGCAGGCACACGACCCGGGCACTGCCCTGCCTCTGGCCCCGTCTCCGAGCCTCACGCTCTCGACTGCGCGGGGCTCCCAGCCTGTTCTGCGCGATCTTGTGGAGCCCGCGGACCCCTTTGCAGGCGCGAATAAAATGTCTGAGATTACTAAGAAAACCAATTATATCGAGAGGCAGTTTTATCGAATGTTGAGAAATCTTTTCTGATAAGGTGAGGTGCTTGCTTCCTTATCAGAACATTACATAAAATGTCTTTTGGTGGGACAGCGGTAACTTGACGCGAGGGGGGACAAAGTGTTGTTCCCAGATCGTCACAGGCGCTGTCACGGGCTACGGAGGTCGTTCTGTGGTTAGCGACACAGCCTCACTCACACCCGAACCCTGCTGCCCGCCATCTGGAGGCTCAGCAGCGTGACCTCGGAGTCTCACAAACGAAGGGCCACCTCCGTGCTGCGCAGGGCCCCCACTCGCCCCCCGCCCCCTCCGCTACGGGTGCCAGCCAGCACGCCCTGCACTCGTCCTAGGAGACGTCCTCGGTGCCAGGTGGAGGGTGCTCTGGGCCCCGGGTACAGGCCCCCGGCCCCACTTTACTTTGCGAACCTGGTTTCCTCCACTTCCCTTTGGAAGATCCCCCGAAGGGATAGTTTTATAAGTTCCAGTGGTGAAATTTACAAAATTTCAAGTGCTCCACACTTGACTGGGGACATGGTGGTGCCAGGGCCAGGCTTTGCTCCTCGGCCGCGTCCCTTTAGGGTGCTGGGTGGGTGCGTGGGCCGAGCACCCCCAGGGCCTTCCCACCAGGGTGGTGAGTGCCCCTGCAGGTGAGCCTCGGAGGCAATGCATGACCTTGGCAGAGGTCAGGCTGTGCCTGCGGGGCAGGGCGGCTCCTGCTGGTCACTGCAGCTGGGACAGCCCTGGAAAATGCCTGGGGTGGGGGAGGGGGCAGAGGTGTAGGCTGAGCAGCTTGCAGGAAATGGGGGCTTAAGGGGGGACTGCAGAGGGAGGGGCAAGAACGCCCAGCTGGGTCCCCAGCTGTCTGGTGAGCAGCGGCTGGGGCTGCATCTCCAGGTCAGGGCTCGGGCCCAGCCTTCCCATCTCAGGAGCCGACCCCAGGATGCAGGGGGGCCTGGGCGGCGACACAGCCACAGGCACGGAATGGCTTCTCCAGTGGCCTCGCTCCGACCCGGGGCTGCACCCGGCAGAGTCAGGACCAGCCCGGACGAGCAGAGGCCTGCCCTTCATTGCTGGGACTGGTACAAGTGTCTATGCCTGCTCGGGCCTCAGTTTCCCCAGCTGCACACTGCCGGGTTTGACTTGTCTCATCTCCAAGGGCCCCCCAGGTCTGGCCTCTTCGCCTTCCCGGCACGTGACTCTCGCAGGAAGGACACAGCCAGGGTGTCAGCCCCTGTGCCTGGCTCTCCAGCCCTGCCTCACCTCACAGGGACCCAGCAGGGCCCTGGCCTTGTCCCACACGGCGGGGGCACAGGTAGGGGCAGAGGGGCCTCCCTGCCCTCTCCCTGCCCCCACCCCTTTGCTAGGCATTTGAAATTGAATTTGAAATTCAGGTCAAAGGTGCCTTGAGGTCTCTGACTCTGTGCTCCCAGGGGTCCTGGGGGCGGGAACAGTGAGGAGAACTGGCCAGAAACAAGTACTGGCCCTTCCTAGAGAAGGGACGGAGCCGAGGCAGGAGGTGCCCGCTGTGTGACTGGAGTAGCGCCTTGGCGTGCACCGCGTGCCTGTGCAACCCGATGCCAGGCAGCCATAGCGGGGATCTCACGCACGGGGAACAGGACATGTGTCGTTTCCAGTAGGAGGTGTCGACTTTCAGGAGCCACCGAGTGTCATCCCTGGGCAATGCGGTGTCCACTGGGCCTGATTCCCTGTCCCTCCAGAGACCGTGGGATGCGAGGGGGTTGGGCGTTCTGGAGGCCTCCGGAGCTCCGCTCCCCCGCCCGCGCGGCCGGCTCTGCAGTGAGGCACCAGCGCACCTAGGTGGAGCCCGACCCGCGGTTTTCGGCTGGACCGGCCCCGCCAGACCCGCCGGCGCACCAGGCGGGGGCGCTGCAGGGCGGCGGGGATCCCCCGGGTCCCCTCCGCGGCCCAGTGCGCATAGGCGGCCGGGCGGAGCGCGGACGGCGGCGGGCCGGAGTCCGATCGCCGCGCGGGCCTGGTCCCCGCTCCCCTCCCGACGCCCCCCCAGGAGCGGCGGAGCCGAGAGAGCGGCGGGCGCGCGTCCCCCCGGCCGGAGCAGCGGCGTCCCGCGGGCGGCCAGGCGCGCAGCGTCGCCGGCCCCACCTGTCGGCGCGGCTGCCCCCCCACCGCCGCCACCACCGCCACCCGCACCGGCAGAGCCAGCAGCGCGAGCACCGCGGGAGCGCGGGCCCGGGCCTCGTCCGGCCGCAGCGGCGGAGGCGCGGGCTCTGGGGAGCGCGGAGGCCGGCATCGTCCCGGGGAGGGGGGAAGGGAACCGGCCCACAAGCCCCGGGCCGCGCAAGTTCGATCAGCGCGAGCTCGGCCGGGCCGTACGGGCCTCGGCGGTGGGGATGGTGCAGCAGCCCCGAGCCCTGCGCGCAACCCCGGCCCCGAGCCCGGCCCTCCGAGGAGCTGGTGGCGGCACGGCGGCCCCCTGAGCCCCGGGCCGGAGCGAGCGCGGGCGGCGGCGGCGGCGGCGGCGAAGGAGGCGGAGAAAGGCGCCGCCGAGCAGCGAAGGGCCGGGGCCGCGCAGGACCCCCCAGCGCCCGGGCCGTTGCGCAGTCCGCCGCTCGCCGTCCCGGCCCTGCTGGCCGCGCGGCTCCGGGGGCGGCGGCGGGGCTGATTCATGGGGCCGCGGCGGCCACCCCCCCGCGGCCGGAGACTTTGTGCTAACCTCCCCGCCCCCGCCCGCCCCCTCCCCGAGCCCCCCCGCCGCTCCCCTCCCCCTGCCCAAAAAGACGCGGATCGCCGCCCGGAGAGGCGCCTCCAGTCGCGGCGGAACGCGGCGCCGGCGGCGGATGGAGGGCGCAAGCGGGCAGCCGCGGCGGCTGCACCCGGCGGGGCGCTGATGCGGCGCCTGGACCTTCGCTGCGCGACTTCGGGGGCGTCGGCCGAGAGGGCGCTCCGCGATGCAGCTCCCGAAGGCGCTCTGGGCCCTCGCAGGCGCCGCGCTCTGCTGCTTCCTCGTCCTGGTGATCCACGCGCAGTTCCTGAAAGAAGGTAATTGTCCCCGGGCGCCGTCCCTGCGCTCGACCGCGCTTCCAGCACGTTCCGCCGCCTCTGCCGCCGCGCTCGGCCAGGGCTTGCGGAGTGCTACTGCGGGGCCGGAGGGGTTGGTGACGGAGCCCTACCCGCGTTCGTGCGGCGCCCGCTGCCCGCGCACAGCGGGGTTCGCGGGCGGCCCGCGGGGTCGGGCGGGCGGTGGGTGGCCTGGGTCCCGCCGCACCGCCGGGAGTCCGGGCCCAGGCCGGGGCTGCGGTGCCCGTCCCCTGCCCCGCTCGGCCGGTTGGCGGCAGCGCCCGCCCGACTCCGCGGGCCTCGGTAGATGGCACCAGCGCTCCACGCTGGCGGGCCGAGCGCCGGGCTGAGGGCCGGTGGGAGCCCGGGGTGAGGCCTGCGCTCTCGCACCCCGCTGCCGCGTCGCCTTTCCGGACCTAGTAGGGGACCCGCGGGTTCCGGAGCTGGGACTTCGCCACCAGAGTGCCAGGGCTCTGCATCAAGTTTGCCGCTTCCTCTCGGCGCCTGCTGAGCACAGGGCTCTGAGATTCCGTTCGTGGGACTTGGTTGAGGGGCACATGTTGATGGTCAGACCCCCGCAGCCAGAGGCGTTTCTGGAACTGGGCAGTTGGGCGCCAAGGGCCCCGGTTCCTGGGCTGGGATGGTGCGTGGGCACCGCGGTACCTTGGGGGCTCCTGGAAGCTTCCTGGTCCCGGAATGGGCTCCCCAGGGGCCCGGTGCACCCAAAGCTCGGCCAGCCCAGCCCCCACAGGCTCCCCCACTGCCCAGGGCTGGTGTGCCCTTGCCCTGAGGCACCCTGCCCCCAGTGCCACCCGCCACCCAGTCCCCCACCCAACTCCCCAGCACAGAAGGGCTCTGGCGTGGCCGGCGATGCAGGCAGACCCTCCTTAGCTCTGGGCCCCTGCAAAGGCAGGGTTCGAAACATTCAGCTGTTTCCCTCCTAATTAATGAGCTGCTGGCTTCCCGGGAAGCGGGGAGGTGTGGGAGGCCAGCTCGGGCCCGGTCACCTGCTCCATCAGCCTGGTGTCCCTGTCCCTCTCTTGCTCTTGGGTCTGGGCCCTGGAGGGAGAGGTGGCTGAGCCCAGACTTTGCTGCAGGCCTGGCCTGCTCAGGACGGGAGGGACCAGGCCTTCCTGGAGTCCAGGCCAGCCCCTCCCCGCACTGGCTTACTGACCTGCTTCAGCAGAGGGTGGCTCTGGGGTCGGGGGCTGGTCCCCTGGGGCTGGCACATCCCCAGAGGGCTGTTCTGTGTCCAGGGGAGCCTCGGCCCACCGGTAGCCACGGGCCCCTTTGCAGCTGGGCCTTGTTTGGGCCATAGCTTTCCACCCTAATCTCACTGGTCTTCCTCTTTGGGGGGCCCACTTTGAAAAGGGGACACGAGCTGAAGAGCCAGCGCCTCTCAGGCCACAGTGCCTGCCGTGTTTGGGTCTCTTCTGCGACAAAAGTGATTGTCTCTGATTTTAAAGCTGTGACCGGGTGAGAGAGTAAAGAAGCCCTGGGGGCCTGTGACCAGACACCACCCCGGCACCCACCGTGGGAGCTGGTGGCTCCTGGTGTCCCCGGGGGCATGGCACCCCGCAGCCCAAGTCTTGCGGACGGTGTGTTTTGGTCAAGAGGAAGGAGCGGCTGTCCCTGGGGGCAGCGGACGGCAGCTTGGCAGGTCGGCGTCTGAGAGGGCGACGGAGCTCTCGGAGTGGAGCGGAGCCCTTTCCTTCCGTGACTGACCCTGGAGAGCCCTCCACGGAAACCCCGGTGTTGGCCCTGCCTCGGACACAGGCACCTCCGTCCCTGGTCTGGGAGGCGAGGCCGGGCTGGAGCAGGCACTGGAGCCGGTGTGTGCACGCCTCGCCCCCTCCCCAGAGCTCTCCAGTGTCCTTGGACATCCAGTGTCCACCCTGAGCAGCTGCATTCGCTCCACGGGGACAGGGTCCCTCTGTCCCGTCTCTCTGAGCGGCCGGGGCTGCAGTGGTGCCCTGTGGTCTTTGAGATGCCCCTTCCGGCCCCACGGGGTCAGGAGCCCTGGGGAGGGTGGGGACCAACCCCAGTGGCCACGGGCTGCAGGCTCCAGGCCACTTTCTTCCAGCAGTGCACTGGCCAGCAGGGGGGAGGGAGGGAGACCGGCCACAGACAACCAGGACTTGTTGTCTGCGGGTGAGTGGGAAAGAGCTGCTTTAATCGCCATCTCCGCCACTCCAGTGCGTGCAGCGTGCGGAGGTACAGAACGGGGACACAGGCCATGTGTCCATCTCCGCTCTTTGTGTGCAGTCAGGTCAGCCCCTGGCCAGTCGTCCCCTCCGGCCAGGCCATCTGCAGCATTTGTGAGGATGAATGGGGCCGTGAACCGGGGAAGGCGCCTCGTGGCCCCTGATTGTGGCCTGGGCCCACACCGTCTTTGAGAGAAGTCAAAGTCCCGCCTGCCGAGCCCCCCGCCCCCGGCCAGGGAGAACAACCGGCGTGGCCACGGTGCCCTGTGAGGCCAGGCGGGGGCTCGCCCCTCAGGACCCCCCAAGGGTCCCCTATAAGCCGGAGCCGTGACCTTTGGTGAGTGCCGATGCCCAGGCTTTGTGAACTGCAGTCAGAGTTGGGGGGCAGGGATCTTGGGGGCCGGTTTGAGACCTGGCAGCGTGAGTAGGAGCAGCGCACGAGTGAGGGGAGCCGGAGGGGTGCCGTCCTCGGGCCTTCTCGCGTCCCCTGGGCTGTATTTGGTCCCGGAACACGGAGTTAAGGGAACAACTGGAATTACTGTTTCCCACCTCCCTTCCAAGGCTGTTCCGGGCTCTCTCCCAGTTTTCCCGTCTCCCCAGGATCACAGCGCCAAGCGGGGGGGACGGCTTTCATCTTGATCTTAATGTACCAGGAAGAATAAAGACGGACGACAGAGCAGGGGGTGTGGAGGCTGACACCCCGTGGGCCTGGCTCCTTGGGTGGAGAGGGTGTGAGGCCCGGGGGCGTGGGAGGCAGGAGCAGGCCAGGCCGGCATGGCCCGGGGTCTCGGTCTCTCTCTAAACCCGTCCGTGGCAGGGAGCCTGCTGCTGGGAACAGGCTGGCAGCTGCCATGGCAGCCTTCTGCAGGGAAGCGTTGGGGACGAGTGGGAGCCCCCGGCCCCCTTTGCAGGGACCTGGCCCCCCCTCCAGACCTGCCCTCTGAGTCACCCTCGGCTCTCAGGGTCAGGGGCCAGCGGCTGATTGAGTCAACAGGACTCAACTTTCCTTTATTTACTTGGCTAGTGATCCCAGAAGGGACGCATCCTCCTGTGAACCCACAACGGTGAGGGACACGCTTCTCCCACAGGGTCACTGGTCACTGGCGGCCACAGCCCTCACGGGACAGCAGCGAGCAGAGCATCAGTGTGTCTGTGACTGACATCTGTCCATTGGAAGGGGTGGACCAAGGACAGAGGGCTGATGCTTCTGGCTACTGCCACTGGCCTCACCAAGAATGTTTGTTGCAAGCAGAAGGTTGTTGGGGCTCTAACCCAGCGTCCCGGGGGTCAGTGGGGCGGGGTCTGTGGGGGTGGCCCCCCAGCCCCCCAGAAGCTTTGACAGCGGGAGGTGCTTCCCTGGGGTTCTGGGCCCCAGGCTGCGCCTGCTCCTTTCTCAGGGTCCATGACTTCGGGGGGCAGAAGGCCCCAGTGCCGGGGGCCGGTGTGCTCTAGGGCAGGGGTGTCAGACTCATTGTCACCAGGGGCCACGTCAGCCTCGCAGTGGCCTCCTAAGGGCCGAATGGAACGTTAGGACTGTGTGCATGTAAGTCCTTAACTAGGGGCGAGGAGCTCGGCGCTGCCACCGGGTAGAAACCAGGTGCCGGGCGGATTCAACCAGGGGGAGGCCGGATTCAGCCCTCGGGCCTCGAGTTCGCCACCTGTGCTCTAGACGCTCCTGGCGTTGCCGAGCCCACGGCCCCCACCCAGACGTGCCCGTGGGCCGTAGGGCTCCCTGCCCGGGCCTGGACTCTTGGGGCCGGAGTCTCCAGGCTGCATGCGGAGGGGCCTGACCGGGCCCCGTCCCCACAGACGGTTTGAAAGGCCCGGTGTCTCGCGTGGCTGCCGCAGGGGCGGAGTTGAAAAGGACGAAGAGTGACCTGCGCCGTTACGGTCGTTGGCCATCGCTGCACCTGTGACGAGGACTCTGAACAAAACCCGCATCAGCCGTCGTGGGCGGCTCCTCGCTGAGGGTCTGCCAGCCGTAAAACTTGGGGCGCAGAGGGGCTGGGCCTGGGGGCGCTTGACAGACGGACGTGGCTCCGTGGTCCAGGGCCCGCTGGGCACAGTGGACAAGGCAGGACGCGGCGTGTCTGCTGGCGAGTGTGCACACGCGCAGTTCTGTTGGTGACGCACTCCCGTGTTCGTAGTGACACGGGAGGCCCAAGGGCATGTGAAGTACACGGAACCCACCGGAGCGCGATCTGAAGTACAGCCGCCCCGCGGGGGAGGGAGGGGCCCCGCACCTCCACGTCTGTGGGAGGTGCTCACACGCCCGTGGCTGCCTGCACACAGCGCTCAGTGGGTGTGCGCGCGCCTCACGTGCAGGCTCCTAGGACCCCAGGCGCCCTCATCCTGAAGCCATTTGTCTGTGGACCCGCCTCTCTGGGTGTGTGGCACAGCTGTGCCCCCTCCTGTCGCACACACGTGTGCACACAGGTTCTCACAAACGTGTGTGCATGCCGCCAGTCCCCTCAGCTGGACTCCCTGTAGGCTGGGCTTCCGGAAGTTTCCACACACCGGCACAGCCATGCCACGGCCTGTGGAGGGTGCATGTTCACAGAGGAAGCACGGGAAGCCCAGCCATGTCCCTGGTCAGCGAGTCCTGCGCTGACCCTCGGGCCTGTGGGTGTTTCTGTCCTGCTGGCTGGGCCCCGAGGTGGGCGCAGGTGGGGGGGCTGCCCGGGCTCCTTGCGCACCTGCCGCCCCCGCCCCGATCCAGACGCCGGCCGACCCTGTCTCTGGCGTGGGTCACACAAGCTGGGCCGTGTGGCCTTTGGG